CCTTTCTGCTCTGCTCTCTGTCCTGTCAAAGCTGACCTACTGGGCTCATCCTGGGCTCCCTGGCGCTCAGCCTGCCCATGAGCCTGGCGAATTGGAGGATCAGCAAGGGGTCTGAGAAAGCAATGCATCTCCGGTCCCAGGGGTGAGACCTAGGTTCCCTCCCAGCGGGGAGTCTAACTAAGGGCCTGTGGGCTGCCCGTCCCACCCAGTTCTCTCTCCAAATGTTGGGAACAGCTCACTTTTGCCGGGAGCCTGGGCTGAGTGAGGATGCCCTGCTGCTGCTAGCTCCTGGGTGCCACGCTGTCCCTGGCCACCTTCTACGAGTCCCTTTATTAGACTCTCCTCCAGTCACCCAGTTTGAATGTGCCACCTGTTTCTTGCTGAGACCCTGATTTATATCCATTTGAAACAAGAAAAAGAGTATCTATTCCAAGGGAGGCAGGGGAAAACTATTAGTTTTTTATTTTTTAAGGGAAGAAACACTTTTAGATTTTTTTTTAAAAAGGAAGAAAAATATTTATCATTTGACAACAAAAAATGGAAAATAGAATGAATGTTTATGTTCTTTTGATTTACTGAATCCTAAAGTATAACTAAATATTTGGGTTGAAGGTGAACAGAATTAATAAAGCGAGGCCAATTAATTGAATGACATTCCAATAAGTGATTTTGTATGACTCCTTCAGTAATGGAGATGTGGGATATGGAACAGTCAGTATTTTAATTTATAATATATAATGAGTGGCTGTATATTTTTAGTAGTGCCCGTACCATCTACAGTAATATGAATAATAAACAATGGATGGTAGAAACCAATTTAAGTACGGGAGAACTTAAAATAACACAATCCAGACTTTATATTTTTTAACAAAGTAATATTCCAATTTCTTTTGGTCATTGTCTGGGGTTGAATCATAACCACAGTTTTTCATAAAACAGGACACAGTCAAGGGAACAGGACCTGTGATTTTTTTCCAGGCACAGGTTCTGGGAGCTAGAAATGGGCTCCCTGTCTTAGCTGGGAACAGACAGACCCCTGACTTCAAGGTTAGAGTGCTGGGCATGGCTATAAAGACCACAGGCCTCCTGGGATAGCACAGCAAGGACCCTGGAGAGCCCAGCCTCTCCCTAGGTCTCTGGGGAAGGAAACTGGTGACCATCTGCTTCCCCACCTTGCTTCTCCTGGGAGACCCCGGCTGCAAGTCTGGGAGGGTGCGGGCTCTTCTCCAACCATGTGGGCTGTCACCCAGCCATGGATGGGGATGCAGCCTCCTCAGTTCAGACAGGAGTCTCCCTTCGGTTTCAGAGCTCTCGTTGGCAGCCCCACTGGCTCACGGGGGACACCCCACAACCCTCGAGTGAGACCAGCGTGGGCAGTGGTCCACCCTGGCCTCCCCAGGGACAGCACGCACCTGGGACCCCAGGGACATCTATAGCGACCGCACGAGCCTCAGTCAGGCCTGCCAGGTCTAGTGAAGTTCCTGAGTTGGTGGGGTGGGCTTCCTTCCAACACATGGAAGCTTCAGACACACATCCAGGGCAGGAAGGGTGGGCTGGGGATGAGTCACAAGGGCAGGGAGGCCAGCGTGCTGGGATGTGCAGGGTGGGAGGGGAGGCGGGTGCACTGTTGGCGGCCTGGCCCAGCTGTGCTGGCCTCACGGGCCTGTGAGGCTGGTCTCCAGATGTGCCTTTTCCGATGGCCCCTCTTGGACCAGGGATTCCCTTCACGCTGGGGGACTGGGGACAGGGAATCTCAAGAGAGATAAAGTTCACCACAGCCAGAACCAAGAGTGGACAGGACCCTAAGGAGTTCATGGCTTGTTTCAACCCTTTCTCCCACCCCAGGAGGCAGGAGAAATAAATTTGATATATTCGTGGCTTAAAATCACACACACACATCAGTCACACTCGGGTTTTGAGAATGTCACTTACAAATTGTTTTAATGTGGCTGTGATGATGACATCCTTACACGCTAGAAAGGGATTCTCCAGGGACCGAGGCAGCTGGAGGGGGGTCACAGGATGGGGCAGACAGTTAAAGTCCTCCTGTGACTCTCGGAGCACACAGAAGAATCTGTCAGCCATTCAGGAACCACAGTGTCAGGCTGCGGCTGCCCCACGAGGAGGCTCAGAGACAGTTCACACAGGGCGGCCGAGGCCCGCGGTTTGGAGATGTGTCTCAGCCCAGCCAGCTGTCGGCATCCAGACCCGAGCGTCAAATGCGTCGGAGGTGGGCCAGGGGCCCTCGCGCTGCTCTTCCCAGGTTGCTACTTCTTATATTACCTCTGGAAAGGACAGGCGTGGGCAGCGGGGTGGTGAGTTCCCGGGCATGACTCTACTGGGCATGCCTGACTCCTCTTGAGATCTCAGGTGAGGGGAGGGTGGGGGGACAAGGCGAACACCACCTCCACTTCTGGCGGACAGCCATGTGAACCAGGCTGCTTTGCCCGGAGGGTGTGGAAGGTGGGAGAAGAGAAAAACAGCTGCCTTCACCAACTGTGCCCTCTGTTCGGGAAGGCTGGACCCCTCATGGTGGTTGTGATGTCACCCCATGCTCTTCCCTGGGTCCACAGTGTCCCTCTCCTCTTAGTGAGGACCACAGCTTCCACCCATTGCTCTGGGAACCACCAATTCACGTCTCTCTCCTCTGCCTAGTCAACTTTCACTCCATACACGCATTTACTCAACACACGTATTGAGCACCTACTGCAGCCTAGACCCAGTGCTAAGCCTGAAAGCTCATGAACTCAGACAGACCTCGGTCCAGATTCCAGTTTGGCCATTTAGCTGTATGACCTCAGGCGTTGCTTAAATTTCCGAGCCTCAGATTGCACAGAAGGGGGACAATCACACATGCCTTAGGATGCAGTTGGGAGAATGGAGTGAGATGATACTTGTGAGGTGCTGAGCACAGGAGGCAACTATCAGAACTCTTGTTCCTCAGCTCTCTTTCCCTTCCTCAAACTTGTGCATCCCTGAGTGCCAGCAGCACCTAGCCCATGGGGAGCAATCACAGAGATCAGGAGGACTCCAGACATTGCCTGGTGACGAATTAAGACAAAAGAATGTGCCTTGTGCTGAAGGGGTCTCGCTGGGCTGTCCAGCCCTGGTTATGAGCCTTAGAGCGGTAGATGTCTTTAGATAGAGCCACTGTTTCATGTGGTTCTGTTTTATTCTCTTTTTTGTTAGTGAACGAGCCAACCAGGACCGGAGGAGGTGGCGACTTGCCAAGCAGTGGAGTAGGGAGCATGCTGGCCGGGGCCAGGAGATCTGGTTCCAATCATGGACACCACATGGACCACGTGTGTGCTGGTGCCTTCTGTGCTCTCCACGTCCACACCCGCCCCCTCCGAAGCCGTGCGCTCACCCCTGCCCCGTCTACTCTGTACAGTTGTCGGCAGAGAACAGAGGATGGTACAAGTACGATTAAAATGACACGGAGGGGTAGCAGAGCTTTGGCAGTGGGGGCTGTCACTGTGATTGTTATCGCTCCGTATTAAACCAGTGCACGTTTGCGCAGACTGAGATGGCTGTCATGTTGGAGTGAACGGGCCACGGATGCTGACACAGCTACTAAGTTGCAGTGTGGCCTTGAGCATCTCCCTGCCCTCTCTGCAAACCCAGCGGCTGTGCCCGGTAATCATCACGTCCCTCTGGGATTGGAAGGTTGGTGACGTTGAAACGCAGCAAACGCACTCTGGCTCTAGACGCTTTGAAGAGTGACGATCTGGTAGCTGCTTTGGGCCAGACTCTCTTGGCGGTTACCCTGGGGGTGCCTGGTGGGGGGTGGAGAGCTGCCCAGGCCCTCGCTGCAGCCCACATGCAAGGCATCTGGGAGGTTGCAAGGACATATTTGAGAGGAAAATCATTTTCCTTCAGCACAAAATCTGGCAGCTGCAGAGTATGTAGATCCCTGGCCCTGGGGTTTTCTAAGCCCGGTCAGACGTCTGACTCCTACAGGGTGTTTCTGCATGGAGACGCAGCGAGGGGAACCTTCTGATTCCCCTACTCCCGGTTCTGGAATGGGACTCTCGACACGCCGCCAAGTTACCC